ACTCGGTTTTCGAGGGGGGGGGGGGGGTTCGAACCGGTAGTGACCCCCCCCCCTTTTCATGATGAGCTTGGGGGGGGGGGAGGGGTTCGAACCGGTAGTGACCCCCCCCGGTTTTCCGAGGGGGGGGGGGAGGGGTTCGAACCGGTAGTGACCCCCCCCGGTTTTCCGCCAGCAGCGGTAGAACACGCTCTTTCAATTATCTAGATGCCCGAGATTGGTTTGCTACCAAACCTGGAACCAAACAACTATTCGTACCCCGCTAACTGTTCAAGAGGTGATGTTAGTTTTCTCTACGTTATGCGAGCTGTAGACTGGGGTGTTGAGTCGCACATGGAGGGCGGGCGTGGTTGGGGCAAATCAGAGCGATGTGCATGGTAACTGCTGGAGCAACATGTCGCGTGCGTCTGGGGGCAGAGGGGCGCACGAGCGATATCTTTGTACTATCGGAGCCTCTTGCCTCTCAAGTCCAAGGCGCCCAACGGATTGGATTCATGCCTTGCAGGCCATCGATGGGGGCCCATGACCAGGTCTCTCTGCAGCGCGCGGGACATGGCGTTGATGGCAGTTGAGCGCGAGCTGTGCGATCAACATGACAAGGTCGGCTCAGGCAGCGATGCTTTCCCGGGCAGAGGTGGCCCAGTCAGAACGAAGCATGTTAAATCCAGGTGGCAGCCGAAACTGGCTAGGCAACAACATGGACAGAAACTTTGTGCTTGGCTGCAGGCTGCTAGATGGTCGAAACACTCGATCAAGGTTCGAGCCTTTTGGTGCAAGATGTTGCATGAGCCTGGCAACTGGTATTGGTCTTTGTCATGGTCGCATAGTCTCGCCTGTCTACTGTAATTCACGCGTTGGAACGGTGATGCATGATCCGCCTACGCCGACTGCAGGGTGGCAACAAGCGCGGCGACGTGGCAAGCAGACAAGGTACAGCGAGGAGGAGAGCACGACAATACCAATGGCCCAGGCTAGAGCGCATGTACCAATACGAAGGCTAGCTAGGTCACTGATGGACGCCATGCACTTCCCGATGAAAATGCGACAGACTCATGAAGTCAGGAGTCATCTAGAAGATCGTGCGCTGGATACTTGTCATGCGACTATGCGAAGATTGCACGTGATGGCTTCATGGATACTGCTTGTCGTGCTGTTGTGTATGCTGATGGTCTGCTGCAGTCTATCTCATCGCCGCCAGGTGGAACAGTCTTGGCAGAAGTGGGTGCGACAGACATTCGAGAGAGGAGCTGGGCCGGCACATCGCGCGTCAAGAGCCCGGACCCTTGAAGCTGCGGTGGGCCACGCTGACCAGGCGCAGCCCTGCCAGCTCGCCGATCGCGAAATCGACACTTGGAGTGAGATTTGGAGTTGCCATGAGTAGCACGGACGAAGTCTACCAAGTCATCGCCAGCAGTGGCCTCAACTTCCTCGGTTGAGGCCGCATGATCTCTTGGAAGCGGCCCTCTCGTCCTCCTGGAAGACGGCTGTTAGTCTCAATCGACTCCATCCTCGTGCTTTCTGGTACCTTTCGTTTCAAGGTCTCACTGCTTTGTGCGCCCTGCATCATGCATTCGAGCAGTTGATGATGTGGACGTCTGAACGCATGGTAAACGAGCTGGCGGGCGAAACCTGATGGAGAAACGAAGTTGATTGCTCTTTTTGCAAGCTCCATGAGACGATGGTCGCGAACCAGGCGCCCCATCTCCAGGGAATGGATGTTTTCACATGCTTGTCCCCACAGCTAGGGGGATATGAGAGGATTTTCATCCAGTCTCTCGGCCTGCGAGCACAATTTGCAGGCTGAGATTGCTTGCATGGTGGCGAGACGTCGATCGCGGCTCTCCTGGACATGTGTAAATGTTTTGAGACTGCATTGTTCTCTGCACTGGTTGTGGAAGCGAGAGAAATGAAGTTCCCAATGAGGCTCCTCTGGCTGCTCCTGGGGTCGCATACTCAGCCAAGGGTCATAAGAGCGTTTGGATGTTGGAGCAGGGCTTTCCAGGCCTTTCAATGGATCTTGGCGGGGTGTACGGATGCGACGACGCTCCTCGCGATTTTAACCTACATGGTCATCATGACGGTCCCCAAGGTGAGCCCGAATGTGGTCCCCCGAATACTAGTTGATGACACTACGCTGCAATGGATAGGTCCTAGAGATGATAATGCTCGAGAATTGCTCTTGGGGGTCCAGGTCTTCGTGATGGAAACCGCTAGGCTTGGGCTCCTATTGCAAATCGAAAAGTCTAGGCGGGTCTCGACGGCTGCGTCTGCTAAGTTTGGGTTTGGGCGATTTGCCAAGAATGCCCACCTGAAGGCCAAGTCTTGGGCTAAAAATCTTGGGCATGAGCTCGGCGGGCCCGACCCGTTCGTAAGCGGGCGAAGGCAAGGTTGAACCAGCTGCAAGACCGATCCCCGAGACTTGAGATGCTGCCACGAGGTGCTAGGAAGCGAGTTGCCATTCTATGGGGGACAGGACTTGTACCTGCTGCAGCGCACGGGGCGACGGTAGCAGGAACCAACGACCAAGAGCTGAATAAGCTCAGGCAGTATGCAGCAACCCTTGCTGGCAGAGCTAGCACGTCTTCGTCGGTTAGGCTCATGGTCGCTACACAGGCTGACGCCATGTGCGACCCCGCGTTCGAGGCCACGTTCGCCCCGTTGAGAGCCTAATGTGGATTCGTCTGGGATCCAAGGGTTAGTTTGGGAGATTACAGTGGGCTTGGGGCCAGGCCCGAGATGCACTCCAGGAGCGAAGTTCATGGGCGGCTGCAAACGGTCCAATTGCGGTGCTATTTTGTCTCTTACCAGGATAAGTTGGAGCATGGCGTCCAGCATTGTGCTTGTCAGCGACTTGGGCCATCTATTTAACACTATGAAATTGCCACCGCGGTCTATAGTAGAGCTCGTGCGCCAAGGCATCGAGCGTTGGCACGTCAACCGCATGTTGTCTCACCACCAGGAGGCATGTGTGGGAGGAGAGATGCGATGGACGACGATATGAAGGAAGCGCGTGGGAGGAAGGCGGTTGTGAAGAATTCACGCTTCGCTGGTGCCCTACGCTCTCTATGGTCAGGCGCATTGTGGTCGAGGGACCGTTTGGCGCGTGCTGGCGACCGTATCCCTCCTGCTTGTCCCCATTGCACGGCCAGGCACTCTACGGTGAGGCATCATATATATATATATATATATACACATATATATATATATATATATATATATATATATATATATATATATCAGTGTCCAGAGTGTTATGCTGATGTAAGAGATGATCCTGACCTCGATTGGGATGCATCCTTGAATTGGATACGTTCTCACCGTCAGGCTCAGGCCGATGACTTTGACTATTTTGAGGCGGCTGTTGGGATGCCCATCAGCCCCCACGTGCCTCCGTACGTGGAGGACAAGTTGAAGTTTCATTATGGGGTGATTGGGTGTCGAATCGGACCTCTTTGGAGACGACTGTATACACGGATGTGTCTGGGATGGCCCGAACTTGGCCAGAACTTCGGCGTTGTGGATGGTCTGCGGTGCAAATCGGGGACAACGGCATGCCTGTCAGAGCTATTCATGGGCCCCTTGTGGGGGGCGATACAGACGGTGGGAAGGGCGGAGAGGTTCGCGGTATTGCAAGCGCTGCGCCACTTCACAGTTGCGTCTTTGGTTCTCACAGATCTGCTGAATGGAGCCAGAGAAGGTGCCAGTTGGTCTCACCAGCAAGCCGACGCACAAGCCAACTACGCTGACATCTGGCGATCGGTGCTGAGCTTGGTGCCGTTCCGTGATGATGCGCCAAGGTTGTAGTGGTGCCCGTCGCACATGAGCCAGAACAATACATCGAAGATGCTGCCAGATGGAGGGTGCCGTGGGAGCATGTCCTCGGCAACATGTTGGCGAACTGTTTCGCGAAGAAAGGTGCAGCAGTGCATGCACTACCGAATGTTCTGGGCAAGAGCTTTGAGGCCCACCTTGCACTATCCAGGCTGCAGGGCAAGTTCTTCGCGTGGGCAGCGGCCAAGATGGCTGCGAGGGATGGTGAATCAGGTCGACCAGAACATCTTCTGAGGGATTCGGTGAGGACTGCGCCTGGCCTCCAGCTTACGTCTCATGATGTCGTAATTAGGGGGCCCAGTGTGTGCCTCGGGATGGCCCGCGCGCAGGCCAGTCTTGGGAAGTTTCTTGGGACCCCCTGCCAGCCTAGGTCCCAAGAGAGGCTGAAGGTGGCCAGTGATGCGGAGCTCCAGCGAACTCCGGTGCTTGGGGCCCAGGCTGTCTCTGTGGCGCTCCAG